TTTAATTTTTTTTGAACTTTTATTTGTTAATCATAATTTGGGTTTCACTGATACTCTTGAAGTAGATATTGTTTTTATATGTTTGTTGTCTAATTGAATTTCCTCTTTTGTGAATTGTCTGCTTATATTTTGTCCATTTTCCTTTAGGGTTATACTGTGATGTTTTAGTAGGGGTATTAGTGTACTTTCTCCCATGGGATAAAACCAATTTAATTCAATAAATTTCACATTGCTTCCTATGTGGCAGCATAGCAACATTAAGAAGAAAAGAAGGAATAAAATCCTTCTTATCATTCTCAAACTGTTAGCTCTCACTAATCATAATTAATTTTTAAAAAGATTTATTTACTTGGGAGAGAGAGAGAGAGAGAGCGCGACTGAGAGAAAGAGAGCACAAGTGGTGGGAGGGCAGAGGTAAAGGGAGAAGCAGGCTCTCCTCTGAGCAGGGAGCCTGATGTGGGGCTTGAACCCAGCACCCTGGGATTATGAACTGAGCCAAAGGCAGACATGTAACTGAATGAGCCACTCAGGCACTTATTTTTTTTTATTAAAAAGACACAAAGTTGGGGCACACTGTTGCAGAGTGGGGTTCCTAGGAAGTAGGCTATGAAATGGAAGTTAGTATGCAGGAAGTTTATTGGAGAGTGTCCTCATGATCAACACCTTTGGGAAACCAAAGGAAGCATGACTGGACAGAGGGAGAAGTTGGGCTCTGATACAGTTTCAACAAAAGCTTCAGCCAACTCCCTATGGAGTTCCAAAGCTGGGTCAGCACTTCGGAATTGTCCTGAGTTGGGAGGAAGTGACCAGGCCTTTATACTCCAATATAGACTAGTCATTGAAGGTTAAGATTCCCTGAGAAGTGATCAGGGGCAAAATGACTCTTTTCTTTTAGTTTTCTCAGAAAACGTCCCAAAACTGGAAGAATAAGTTCTTCCGTCCTGAAAGGTGATATGGGAAGTGAATCAGTGTCTTCTACAGTCCACTTTTTGCATCCCTTGGAATCACTTATTTGTGTAAGTGCTGGGTGCAGGTCTTCCAGGTTCTGGTGGGCCTCTCTTCCTGAAGGAAACTTATAAGGAGAGGAGACTGTGATGATATGCAGCTTCCACCACTGAAGCTGATCTCGAGGCCCCAAATATACTCATTGTCTTGTGCTTTTATTATCTGAACATAGATTCCTCTCATCCTCTCTTAGTGACTGGTGGTTGAGGGAGTTTACCTGATGTTATGACCCAGGTCCTTAGGCCTGAGGGGTCTTAGGCCCTGGTACCAATGCCCTTTATAGACCATGGCTGATGTACTTTTCCATTTACAAAATTGGGTAAGAAAACACCAAGGTGGGACGCCAGGGTGGCTCAGTGGTTGAATGTTTGCCTTTGGCTCAGGTCATGATTCTAGGGTCCTGGGATCCAGTTCCACATCAGGCTCCGTGCAGGAAGCCTGCTTCTCCCTCTGCCTGTGTCTCTTCTCTGCCTCTCTCTCTCTCTCTCTCTCTCTCTCTCTCTCTCTGTGTCTCTTATGAATAAATAAGTAAAATATTAAAAACAAAAAAGGCATCAAGGGATACCCAGGTGGATCACTTGGGTGCCAAACATGGTCCTTCCATCCCCTGATATGTAACAGAATCCCAAGCTCCTAATGATAAGGGTTAATTACTCCTGCCAAGATGGTGAATACTCTTGGGCACCTGCCTGGCTCAGTAAGTCGAGCATGTCACTATTGATCTCAGATCTCAAGGTTGTAAGTTCGAGCCCCACATTGGGTGTGGAGATTACTTAAAAATAAATTTTTTTTCAATAAAATCTTGAAAAAAAGAAAAGATGACTTCTTTTCATGTTTGCTGGTCTCTTGACACAAGGCATCTGAAATGCCCAAGCAGCAATCATAGCTTGAAGTTCAGTGGGACTCCTGCTGTGCCTCTGGGTGCATTCCCCTTAGAAACCAGGATTTCTCTTTCTTTCTCTCTTTCTTTCTTTCTTTCTTTCTTTTTCTTTCTTCTTTCAGATTTTATTTATTTATAAGACACACACAGAGAAGGGAAGACACAGGCAGAGGGAGAAGCAAGCTCCATGCAGGGAGCCTGACATGGGACTCGATCCCGGGTCTCTAGGATCACATCCTGGGCTGAAGGCAGTGCTAAACCGCTGAGCCACCGGGGCTGCCCCAGAAACCAGGATTTCTAAGCTCACAGAACCAGTTGAGCTGCTGGGATGCACAGAGCATGGTCATTTCTACCACTACCCCTTCATTTCCAGACCCATCTATTCTACCTACTAGGGATAAAGCACCATACATTGGTAACTGATTTAGAATGTATGAATAAAAAAAAGAATGTATGAATATGATCTTCAGGGTGGTGTCTCATCTCCTTATCCTTACAAAGTATGGTCTCTGAGCTGGTGTTTCAGTGTGTCTTTGAAGAGCCATCACAGGGGATCCCTGGGTGGCGCAGCAGCTTGGTGCCTGCCTTTGGCCCAGGGCGTGATCCTGGGGACCCAGGATCGAGTCCCATGTCGGGCTCCCAGTGCATGGAGCCTGCTTCTCCCTCTACCTGTGTCTCTGCCTCTCTCTCTCTCTCTCTCTCTGTGACTATCATAAAAAAAAAATTTGATGAGCCATCACATTGCTTAAAATCTGGGGACAGAGTGTGACTTCTTGAAATGACTATAGACCTAGGTGCTTTTCTTTTCTCCTCCTCCTCCTTCTTCTCTCTCTCTTTTTTTTTTTTTAAAGTAGGCTCCATGCCCAGCATGAAACCCAACACAAGGCTTGAATTCATGACCCTGAGATCAAGACCTGAGATTGTGTTCAGTGCTTAACCAACTGAAACATCTAGGCCCCCCAAAGATTTTATTTTTAAGTAATCTCTACGTCCAAGGTGGGGCTCAAACTAATGACCCCAAAAGTCGCATGTTCTGCTGCTCTACTGAGTCAGCCAGGCATCCCTAGACCTGGGCTTTAGAGGGAGATGGTACATATGTTGCTTGAGTGCTATGGATAGTACTATGAGGTACTGAAAGGATTTGTGAAAATATACCCATGTCAATTGCTCTTACGTAGCTGTTTGATCAATGACTGAAGGAGAAATATAATGAAGTATCCAGATGGCCTCTCAAACTCCCTATTAATACTTTTTTTGTGTGTATAATAGCCCTTTTGAAAAATTGAGGAAAAGCTATAAATCCTCTTTAATTTTTAAAAAATTAATTAAAGTAGGCTCCAAGACAATGTGGGGCTGGAACTCGTTGTACCCAGACATCAAGAATCACATACTCCACCGACTGCCAGCCAGGAGCGTCCTGAATCCTTTTCTCAAAAATGCATAATTATACACAAAATATTGTTCATAATCTTAGGGGTCCATGAAATTCTGAAACCAAACCCTGGACTCCAAGTTAAATATTGCTCTCTCCTGTTTTTACTTCCAAGAGGCAGCCTAACTCTCAGTCCTATTTTAGAATACAGTATAGGGCTAAGTTTACTAAACTAGATCCCAAGTAACTTCTCGAAGCAGATTATTTTGGAGAATAGGAGGGGTTACTACATATATATTTTTTTACTTTTTTAAAAAAATATTTTATTTATTTATTCATGAGAGACAGAGAGTGGCAGAGGAGGGAGAAGCAGGCTCCATGCAGGGAGCCCGATGTGGGCCTCGATCCCTGGTCTCCAGGATCACGCCCTGGACCAAAGGCAGGTGCCAAACCACTAAGCCACTCAGGGATCCACATTTCTTTTTTACCTTTCAAAGTATAAAAACACGACAGAAGATGCCACATTCTGGATTCAAGAGGCTGTGATGGTCACTACCAACAATAATTTTTTTTTAAAATATTTTATTTTTTATTTTAGAGAGAGAGATAGCAAGAGAGACCAGGAGCAGGGAGGAGATGAAGTAGGCTCCCCACTGAGCAGGGAACCTGACCTGGGGCTGGATCCCTGGATCTTGGGATCACGTCCTGAGCTGTCCCTTAACCTGAGCTACCCGGGCGCCCCTGATATCTGACCACAGACATAGCTGAATCCTTCAGCAAATATTTACTGGATGCCTCACCAAGATAAGACAGACACCATTTGGGTCCTTTATGAGACTCTCCACTTGAAAAAGCTTAGTGCCCTTTATTTATTTATTTTTTAATAATAAATTTATTTTTTATTGGTGTTCAATTTGCCAACATACAGAATAACACCCAGTGCTCATCCAGTCAAGTGCCCCCCTCAGTGCCCGCCACCCAGTCACCCCCCCCTCTTCCCCCCCAGTGGCATTTAAAGAAAAAAAAAGGTGGTGGTGGGGGGAATCATCTAAGTTTGAGAGACATCGTGGGGGCTCAAAACAGGGCTCTGGGCTGGCGATCTGATTCCTGGTTTCCCCACATCGTGGACTGTGTCCTTGGCGAGTCACGTGTCTCTCATCTACGGAAATCGGTTAACCTGCATATAAGAACTGCTGCAAATCGTCAAAGATGACCTTTGTAGAACTGAGCACGGAGAAATGAAAAAACACAAGTACGAGGCGCACTGATAAAGTGACAGCCAGGAGGGCCAGTCCTTGAGCTCTTGCACGGCTCAGTCCCCGCCGCGGCGCCCAGCACGAGGTCAGGCGCCGCTCAACAAGCCTTCCGGGAGGGACCCACTTCCGCTTCCGCAGGCCGATTTTCGCTGGAGGCGTGAGCGCAGGACGCCCGACGCACGGCAGCGTCGGACCGCCCCCGCCCCCCGCCGCGCATGCTCCGAAGGCTAGGCGGAGAGCGGAAGGGCGGGGGAATGACGAGACGCCGCGGACCGCCGGCTCGTTCGTCCCGCAGCCCCGCGCGGGAGGCGGGGGCGCGCGCACGTTCGCGCGGCTGGCTGCGTACAGTAGTGACGGCCGCGCGGGAGCGGTCACGTGACCATAGCGGCTGCCTGTACAGTAAGGACCCAATATGGCAGCGGCGGTAGCAGTGGCAACGGCAGCAGGAGGACCGGCCGCCCCATAGACCCCCGCCCCCCCCCTCCCGCGCACCACCCCCGCCGCTTCCTCTGCTTGGGTGCTCCTCCGGCCTGACTTCCCCTTTCTCCCACCTTTCCCGGCACCGCGGGAAAAGCATCGCAGGGCAGAGCAGGCAGGGAGGGCGGCCGGAGCCCGGACACGGGAGCCTCCCAGTCAGTTCAAGACCCGACATGAGGGAAAAGGGCCGTAGGAAGAAGGGCAGGACCTGGGCGGAGGCCGCCAAGACGGTAAGGGGGAGGGAGCGAAGGGGAAGCCCGGGAGAATTTCGTTCCCTCGCCGCCTGCCGGTCGCAGGGGAAGGGAGGTCATTGGCCCAGCGACCCGGCTGAAGGGGGCACAAAACCGCGCGGAGAGGGCGGCGGTTAGTGTCGGGGTGGTGATCCCGGTGGGCATGGAGGCGCCCAGCGGAAGACGGTCGCCGCGGGGCTGTGGCTTCTCCCCGCGTCTGCGACGAGTCCCCTTGGTGTTTTGAAGCTGGCCGTTCGGGGTCATGTCGCTCTCACCTCCACTCTGTGGTAGCTCCCGCCCCGGCATGGGGAAGTCTGTTGTGCTTGCACAGTAACCGGTTCTTCTCCCTTGTGCGGCTGAAGAGCCCCCCATTGGATGCAGATAGGAGAAGGCTTGTGCGTGCACTCAGCCCCGGAAAGAAGAGAGGAGCGCTGGATCTTGGTAGACTTTACCCGCTATAGCAGACATGCCGCCTGACCCCGGGTCCCCTGCGCGTCTGGGCTCCCAGATCCAACGCGAGGTCACGAGGCTCTTGTTTTTGTTTTGCTGTTGAAGCTGAAAGTGCAGGAGGTGTTTAGAAACGAAGTAACAGGTGGGACTTGTAGAATTTTTTTTTTTTTCTGTTTCCGTAGAGATCTACTCCGAACAAGGCAGCAATGCATGGTGGGACGTGTAGTTTACCCGGCCTTGACTTTTTTTTTTTTTTTTCCGTAGCTAAAGTGATGGGTTCACGAAGTTGTAATTAGCGGGTAAAACCTTCCTCTTCCCCCCCCCCCGCCTTAATTTTTTATAACGAAGTTTAGAGGTGGGTTTTACGTGGTCCTTGAGACTTCCAATGCGTTGCATGAAAAAATGAAGAGCGTGTACGTATGTAGAAATGAAACATTAGGAGATGCAGGAGAAAAGTAATAGGACATAAAACCGCATTTTCGTGTTGGAAAGTGAGAAAGTGTGGAGACGTTATCTTTAATGGTGAATCATGTCAGTAATACTTGTATAATGTGGAGAACCTTTCTAAATGAACCTTTATTATAAGATGTACGGCTTATTTTTTAAAATGAGTTTTTTTCTGATTATGAAAGTAATAAATGTTAACTGTGGGAAAATTTGGAGAATTATAGGAGCGTATAAAGAAGAAAATAAGAAATCACGCATCTCACCCCTCAGTTTTATCTGTTAAAATGTTTTGTTATATTACCACTTAGTCTTTTTTATTTCCCCACATTTGGATCCTGTGTTTATTCAATCTTGTGCATTTTTGTAAACCTTGTGCATTTGTTTTGTAAATTTGTTGTGATAGGGGATTGATGAGTCTTAAGCTTGTATTTCTGTTTTAGTTGGAAATGTGAAAAAGTTAGTGAATAAATAAAAGCACATTTTATTTATTGGGTGTTTTCACTTAACAACAATCTAATCTCTCTTCATAATTGTGACTGTGCTGATAGTTTCCTTCTAAAAGAGTAAACTCTAGAAATAATTTTTTTGGTTTTGAGGAAATTGCTCCTTCACAGAAGGCTGTTACACTTTCTTCTACTTGATGAATACCTCAAGACTTTTGCTTTTTATTAAAAAAAATGACAAATTTTAATTATAGTTAGGCAGACCACAATCCTAATTATGTTAATTACGTCTCTACAATCTTGAGTACTTTTGAATTGTGATCTCTTTGAATAAAATTCTCTAATTATTAGGCGATTGTGACAAGTAGGTAAAATTTGCATCTGGTGTTTAGATTTTCCTATAATAGATTAACATATTTGTTCATTTATAATAAACATTTCCTGCCTAGCTAGCTTTGTGAAAAATCGTATCTAGAAGAGGGAGAGGCTAGTTTAATAAGAAGAGGACTGAGTTCTTGAAAGGATCAGTATATTAGTGGGTTGGTATTTTTATTTGGTTCTGGCAAATGTAAGGCCTCAATCTAAGTAAAAATGAATTTTAGGATTGTGACACTAAAACTTTTTTTTTTCTAGTAGCCAAAATGTAAAAAACATCCTGCTCTTTTTGGTTTGTTTTATCATCTATAGAAAGTGAAGATTTAAACTAAACCTCTGTTTTCAAAAGATTTCTATTTGTAGGAAGAACTATTTAGAAGTAAATGTAGAGGGACTAGATAAAAGTAAATCTTTAATATTTCAGAATAATGAGATCAGAAAATTAGTGATTTGAAAAATGGAAGTAACTTTGACCTAAATTAAGAAATGTTGCATATAATTATAACATCAAGAAGACTAGAAGTATGTCTTAAACTTTTTTCATAGGCATTAAGGTCAAATATTCTAAGGACAGAGTTTCAGCAAGGAAAGAATAAAATTATTTACGAAAACAAGCAATATCTGCTGCTTATTTCATTGTGTTCTTGGCACCTGCATTGTAGAGCTGTCCTGTTTTAGGGAGCACTATTAAAATCGGATTGTAAAAAAAAAAAAAAAATTGGATTGTATTTCTGACCAATAGCATAGCAACAGGTAAATAAACAAGATTATATATGTATATGTACCTGTTTGATGTGGAGGGTATGTGTGTGGATGTGTGAGAGTTACACGAATTGATATAAGATTATTATGGACAATCTGAAATATGAAGATAATATTCATAATTATTATATGATAGTAAAATTATGCTAAAAGGCTGATTAAATATAGAGTATATAGACTGATTCCAATAACTAAGAACACCAGAGAAAGGGAGAATGGAGTTGAGATTCCACAGAACTTGAATGCTCATTACACTGGACCATCTCCCTACTGATCTTATATATCTGCCCTGTATTAATACACTAGTTATAAAACATTTTTTCAAGTATTTCTTAACAATGTCACATGTTTTAAATTTTACGGGTGGCAGTGATGGTGATGCAATGATTTGGAATTAGGTCTGTAGTATAGTGTTTGGTGCAATTTGAATAGAAAAATTTATAGTAAGCGAGAGAACTTAAAAACCATTACACTGATTTTAGAACTGTTTGGAAAGTTATGTTCATTCTTTAAACAAAACAAAGCAAAAAACCCCATCAGAACCCTTATATCATCTAAATATTTAATGACATCCTTGAGGAATTTAGATGTTCTTGCAAAGCAGATATTTTGAAATAGTACAAACTTGTTGACCCTGTTTTCTCCTTTGACTTTACCTTGTTAGCACCACAGCTAGGGAGGCATTAAAAGGGAAAAGTGTCCTAAAAGGGTAAGTTTCTTGTGATTGTAGGTGGAAGGGACAGAAGCAGACCTTAGAGATAGTATGCTAGAGGTACTTTTGAATATCTTGGGAATAAAGTGAGGGTCAGAAGAATGGGTGTTACAGGTGAGGAGCACAGCAGTCCTGTAAATCTTCAGCATATGGTTTGTAGACTGAAGAAAAAGTTTTTTGGTGGTGGCGGGAGTGCAGGGGGATGCTATCTATATAGATTTCTCGAAATGATTAATACTGTTTTGAATGTACATAGATTTTTATTTTTGTCATTTACCTAAAATCATTTACCTTTGGGGAATAAGATGGAAAGAAGAAAATTTCTGTTAAAGTAGTAATCAGAGGCTAATTACTTTTGTGTAGGAAGTATAGATAATGGAAGTAATTAAAAGTATAATGGGGGCACCTGGGTGGCTCAGTTTGTTAAAGCATCTGACTCTTGATTTCGGCTTAGGATATGATCTCAGGGTCTATCAAGCCACGATATTAAGAGTCTCTCTCTTTTTTTTTTTTCTCTGTCCCCATCCTCCATGTGCATGCACAGGCTTGTGCTCTCTCTCTCAAAAAAGTATAATGATAAAAATATATAATGAATGGAAAGATGATTAGGAAAACATCTAAATAAAATATGCTTTAGGGAAAATAGAAGTCTTAGAAATTTTCAGGACGCTTATCTTTACCGTAATTTTTTTTTTTTTTAGTACAAATACGCATACAGACTTGAAAGCCATGCTTGGTTATGTCCTCTTGGGTATATATTGACCAGTCCAGAGTACTCTACAGTCTGTATTTGTACTTGTATTAGAATCTCCAGGAGAGAGTGTGTGTCTTGGAAAAACATATTAAATCTATTGTTTTTATAATATAGACTATGGAAGGTAAAACTGGGCAAAATCTTGGTTTGTGGAATACATAGAATATGGAATGAGGGGATCCCTGGGTGGCGCAGCGGTTTGGCGCCTGCCTTTGGCTCAGGGCGCGATCCTGGAGACCCGGGATCGAATCCCACATCGGGCTCCCGGTGCATGGAGCCTGCTTCTCCCTCTGCCTGTGTCTCTGCCTCTCTCTCTCTCTCGCTGTGACTATCATAAATAAATAAAATAAAATAAAAAAAAGATTAAAAAAAAAAAGAGAATATAGAATGAGAAAGCATTGTAAGGGGCATGGGTTAAAAATTGAGAAACTGCTCTGATCTGTAATTTTCAAAACACTAACTGCAAATTTATATTCAGCTTTATTGAGGTATAATTGACATAAATTATAAGATATTTGATACATTAATGAAATTGCTATCTGCAATTCTATTTATGTGAGGGGATTTGATGTTGCACTCTACTTGTCTGATTTTCCTTCTTGCCATAATATTAAAGTTCCCATGTTTTTCTTCTTGGATTTGTGTTATTTTCAGTTCGTCCTTCCTTCTGTCATGTTTTCATGTGCCTGCTTTAAAAGCCCATGAACCTCTAACTAGTTGAATGAAACATCAAATCTTTTTTTGAACACATAAATTAGAAATTTCTATGAAAGATAGTGCTGCTATTCCATCTCCTAGAATTTTGACAGGAGCTGAAAAAATAGTATCACATTTGTGGAATTCCTCGCTATTTCCTCCTCTACATATTTTTTAAGCTATTTTTATTTATTTATTTATTTATTTATTTATTTATTTATTTGAGAGTTTGTGGTTTTTTTTTTTTTTTTTTGATTTTTATTTATTTATGATAGTCACAGAGAGAGAGAGAGGCAGAGACATAGGCAGAGGGAGAAGCAGGCTCCATGCACCGGGAGCCCGACGTGGGATTCGATCCGGG